TAGTAAATGCAACAGTTGCTTTCAGAAGGATTGCTGCCATGGATAGAAAGTCACTACAAAGATCGTTGGCTAACTTGCTTGATATGTGCGATCTTGCTAAATCTGTGATAGATTTGACAGCGCAGAAAAAATGGATCACAGTCAGAGAGCCTGCGCAGAAGAAGTTGAAAAATTGCTCAGATTGATATTCTTGCTTTATCCTTGCATTTCTCTACGTTTAATGGTTTCCTTTTTGAGTTGTGGATGTTGTGCTTCATTTCTCTCTATCGAAGTTCTATCGTATAAACTTTCGTATTTCTTATTCTGAAGTGATTCTTTTGATACCGTTTTGTATCGGTCGCCTTCTTCGGATCATCATGTTCTTCCTGCATTATGGTCATTTTTCCTTTTTTTTACAGATGTTCAAGGGGCTGAAATCGAAACTTGAGGATGAGGCGAAGAAAATCCAAGCGTCTATGCAGCAGTATGGAGAACAACTGACTCAACAAGTTGAACATATAAGAGGCACTGCTGTAAGAAAGTCTCGCATTCATTTGCTCCGAGTTAATGATTGTAAAGGGAGGTTTTCTAGAGTGATGCTGGCAGTGAAGGTGGGTCCAGCATAACGCGACGGTTTTTGAATACCGTCAGCGGTTCTTCGACAGCATCACCAAGTTTGCAGGATTCTCTCAATTATACAGTAGGCAACTCTTTTTGTAGTTCTTTTGATGTTTAATAATGAATATAATAATAACAATAATAATATTTGTTGCTACTCAGGTTGGCAGTGCGCTCATGGAAGAAGTAACCGAAGGGGATTTACTGGGTTTGGATTCTTCATCACGTCAGAGACGACTCTCAGGTGGCTCCACTCATAGTACTGAGAGGTATACCCTTTTTATTTGTTGCTTAACTACTCTGCTTATTCCCAGAAGCGAATTTCAAACAGTCAATTTGTAAGTAGGCACACTCTTGATGTGATCCCTTGTGTGTTGAGCTAAACAGGTTTTCAACAACCTGCTGAAGCAGTTGTCTACTCCGCCAGGATATCGCCTTGTTATTACTTCTACTAGTACCACGCAGCGCCGCCCTTTTTCCTCATATTAGCATTTTCTTCGAACGATCTGTTGCTTATTCATTGGTTAGGGACTCAAAGATACCATCGCCGGCCACACCCTAGCTGATTACCCTCACCAGCTGCACAAGCAAAACATGTGCCATGCTGTCAATACTCGAATTTGAGATTGGAAAGTACTATTACTTGCAGGGCATAATTTTCTACATATTTGAAACTTGATGTCTTGGACGAGATAGGTTTGCCTAGCGAATATGTCCCGCATACTGAGCGCGATCGTACAGTCGTATTCGATACATCGTTTACATCAAGTT